TAAGAAAAGTTTTGGATTCTCTTCCCCCCTCTCCCTTCCTTTTAAATGCATGTCGTTTCTGTACTTCCTCAACAGGTATCTTCGTTGTGTATATCATACCATCTTCAATTTGCCAACAGATACCCAGAGAAAGGAGTTTGCTATTCTGACTTCACCTTTGAAAGTGAGCATTGGATATCTCTTCCTATCTCTGTTCTGATACCATTAGTCACAGAGTTCCCTAGAATGTACAATATTTGTGATGTCTAAATAACAACCACAGCTGAGTCACAGTGTAATCAGTTCTTCTGTGCCTCACAGTTGCAGCCATTCTGTGGCACCTTCTGCATTCATTTATTTTAATAAAAATAATGAGGAATCTTTCCTGAGAGGTGTCATCAAAACTATCCTAAATTTGATGACAGGGACATATTAAAGGAATCCAATGATGCCACAAAAGGTGGAACTAATTGGGTCCACAATTTGACTGAGGCTTATTCCTGCACATGCGATGGAAAAACTGGGGTAAATGAATCAGAGGGACAGCAATGACTGAAAGGGGAGAATAAATTCTGGGAGTGTTCCTGGTTTTTGACGTATGAGCTTGTAAAAGTAGTACTCAGCCTCCCATATTCCCCACCACTGTATCTGTAAGTGTTATCAGACTTCCTCTATTTTCTGAAGTTACATATTTTTCCATTTCATGAGGATCACAAAACCAAGTCCATTGATTTGGAGAGCACAGGCTTTCTTCAGCTTACAGTTTATAGGGCATTATTGGGTTAAGTCAAGGCAGGAATTAAATGCAGATACCTGTAGGCAGGAATTAAAACTGAGGTAATAGACTACAACCCAAGTCCATCTGTTCAGCCATGGAAGTGCTTACAATAGGTTGATCCTACTGATACCAATGATTAATGAAGAACAAACTTACTCGTAGGACAATCCAATGGAGGTAATTTCTTAACCAAAGTTTCCCCTTCTCAGATATACCTATGCTTGTGTCAAGATGACAAATATTTACCAATACTCTTGGGAATTTGATTATGCTTAGGTCTGCAAATGGAAGGCAGAAGTCATAAATGCTTTTGCTGTTATTGTAACTGCTTACCTTCAGGCTTCTAGAGTTCATTACACATGTAACACTAGAGAAGTTGGAAGCAGATGAAATAAGTGAAAAGAAATATTGTGAGTAAACATAAGAAGTGCCATGGAAAATGGTTGTGAACACTGGGGGAAAATAAAAGGATGACTAACCAGCACTAAGGACACAGATTGCAGGTAAACTTGATAGATTTGATTTTGCTCTTATGTAGCCTGTCTATCCAGCAGGGGTCGCCATGAATAAATGTCTTTCCAGTTAAGGGTCAGTCAGTGAGCATAAAGAAACTGAATCATAGCAATATAAAGAAGGGCTTGGATTTAACTTTCTTGGAGAATGTCTATCTGGAATTGTGTTTGGTTTCCATGATCTATTTAATGTATGTAAGTTGTAGGTTGTGTTGTCAGTTGGTCTTTATTAAATATGTATTGATTTAAGTGAGAATATATCGGTAGGTATTTGGAAACATGCCCATTTCCTTTTATACCCTACAGCATAAATATAAAGGACCACGGGAGAACCATGGTTTAAAACAAATCTACACTCACTATAGGGTATTACTTAAATCCCGGGACAAAGTTGCATATAATCTTATATTATATGTGAAATTGTTTTTTCACAATATTCACAGAAATATTTGAAATTTGAAGTAATTAAGATATCTTAGCCTGAACTTTATTTGCAAATGTTTTCCTTTGTTACATCAGTAACATAACCAAGAACTTTATGTCCAAAGTGTGTAGAGGAAAATGGATTTGGGCATATATACAAGCAAACATTTTTAGATGAAACTAACAGCAACATTGGTAATAACAATGATTCATTCGGTTGACCTTAGCAACATGTTTTATATCATATAAGCTTTTTCAGTTCATTTTTTTCATGAGATATACAACATATCCTTCAGAGAAAATATGTTGCTTTTTAGTGAAACTATAACATTCAAAACACAGAAATTAAAAGACACCAAATTAGACTTGTTTATATAAGAGATGGAACTTGTATTTTGGTCTCTCCTGAACTTGCTTGCCTATTGAAGCTGTTATTTCCTTGATCACATCCAGAGCAGTATGGCTTTTAACAACAGGTGTTAAGTCTTTGAACTTAAACTCTATGGATGAGTTTCTATTGCTGGCAGGAAACATTGAATCAAATTTGATAATGGGAAAGGATTATCTTGATTGCTATTTCTTGATTTGTATTCAATAGTATATGTCATCCATTGCCACATTTGCATACCACAGAAGACTGAGGACTTCAGTTTGGTTTATTTCTTGGAAAAATATTGTTTCTAGGAATGCCTAGTGTACAATCCCTTATAAATGACCATAGTTATAACATCTGAAATTTTTATTTGTATTAAAATTTGTAGAAATTACATTTCCCATTAAAGCAGCAAGTGTGAGAGCTATTATTAGCCATATTTCTGATCCATTCATCTATAGTTTCTGATATTACCTTTGGAGACATAATAACTCCTATGTATTCTGAACTACCATTTACAAACTTCAAATGTTCTCTTAATACTTATCTAAATTCTGGATCTGATATGATTATATTTATAGCTGAAATCACTCTTCATAGAATATATGAATTATTTTAGTAAATGGCTCAGTCCTTTTTTCTGATTTTCAACCCTGCCCCATGCACTAAGAGCTGATAAAGATCATAGGACCAAGGTTTGATCATCAAATCCAAACTGGCTTTGCAATTCAGCATATTGACTTTCACCAAGCCTTCGGATATATCAATACTTCTAGCCCTATTTCATTGTACTATGGGAATAGCTTTCTTATTCCATTATATTCTTCATTATAACTGAGGGCCAGGTCCCAATATTTCTCTACCTAAATCCTTCCAATCTTGAGGGATAATTGTATTCTGAACTGTCCACGAATTTAGTATCTGCTTCATATACTGTGAATGCATTCAATATTAAATGTTCTCTTCTTTAAATCCCCTCAAATATGATATTTCTACAAGATTTCCTTTGTACTTTACCAAAACCACAAGTTTGCCCGTTTTCTGCTGATCATTCTTTCATGTCAACTACATAAACCAAGGTTAGTTTTCTAATAATTTTGGACTATTACTCTTCAGTTTCATCATGCAGTGGTTTGGTAAGTTCTTGTCTAAATTCCTCTCTTTGTGTCTGAGTGTGTCTCTTTTTTATATTTTTCTTTTTAAAATTTAAATTATAAGCAATCTTATTTTACATACCAATTCCATTTCCCTCTCCTTCTCATCCTCCCCACTACCCCCAAACTTTCCCTATCCTGCTGTCCCAGTCCATTCCTCAGAAGAGGTGAGACGTCCCATGGAGAATTATCAAATTTTGTCACATCATTTGAGGCAGACCCAGACACACCTCACAACGTATCTAGGTTGAACAAGGAATCCCTCCATAGATAATGGGTTCCAAAAAGCCAGTTCATGCATTAGGGGTAAATATTGGTTCCATTGCTGGAAACACTGTAGACTGTCAAAGGCCCCCACCTGACACCCACATTCAGGGGACCTAGTTCATTCTTATTCAAGTTCCCCAGTCTGTGTGCTCCCACTTGCTCAGGTCAGCTGTTCTATTTATTTCCCTAGCATGGTCTTTGCTCATCACTCCTCCCTCTCTGAAACTGGACTCCAGGAGTTTGGCTCAGTGCTTAGCTATGAATCTCAGCTTCTGCTTCCATCAGCTACTAGAGAAAGGATCTATGATGGCATTTAATGTAGTCATCAATCTCATTATAGGGGTAGAGCATTTAACACACATTGTTAGTTGGGGTCATTCTTGTGTATGCCTGACAATTTCCCTAGTATCAGGTTTCTCATTAACCCCATAATGGCTCCTTCTGTCAAGGTACCTCTTTCCTTGTTCTCCTTCTCTGTCCTTCCCCCAACTCTACGTTCCTCATCCTTCATATTCTCTCCTTCCCTCCTCTTCTCCCTTTCTCCTTGTTCCACCAATTTGCCTGCAAATTTCAAGATGTCATTGTTTATTATTCCTGAATAGTACTGCCTTGTGTATATGTGTCATATTTTATCTATTCTTCAGGTGAGGAAGATATTATTCTACTCTCAATATACTATAATAAAGTCAGTTCAGTCAGAGAATTCATGAGAAATAATAAAAAATAAAACTGACTGCCATTAAAGAAAACAACTTGAGTTTTCCCGGGACCAACATGGTGAGAACTGGCTTCTACATGTATCTTCTGCCTTCCACCTTTGTACCATCAAGTGAGCATATCTATATATACACATACAAATATTATAAGTACCTGAGAAAATATAATTTTACTGAGGTATATTTTTGGATGAAAAATTATATATAATTAATTCATATATAGCAAATTAGTTTAAATTCAGTTGTAAAATATCAATAGCCACAAACACCAGGAACCCATCCCTGCATTCCAAGTTTACTCAGACCATATTTACTATGACAATTATTTTTAATATCCATCAGTTATACGTTTTCATGATAAATATTTAAGATATGCCTTCCTAATATGACTATTTGTTTTTGTGCTTCTGCAGAGACAATTTCAATAAAACTCAGGAAAGAGAGCTCTTAATTTCAGTATTTAACATTGAAAAAAGAGGTATTTCTGGGTAAATTTGGTTTAAGAGGAGCAAAAGCATAGTTATTCATCTCATAAGGAATTATTGCATATATGTCCTCATTTTCTCTCCTTCTAGTGCTTCTTTAATACAGTACTGATTAAGTGCTCAGTGTCCTACAGATTGACAGATTTTATCATGTTCTTTTATTATCAATCGCTATATATATTTTTAGAATTATCATCCCTGACATACAAGATGCTACAAGATTTTGCAATAATGAGAAGCCTGCATAACTCTTTCCTCTATCTCTACTGTTACACTAATCCTCATCTTTGCATATTACTCCCTAGGGAGTACCCACTCTTGCTAGTCTGAGATAAAAGCTCAGTTGACATCCTGTGATGACTGATCAGTCTCTACAGACTTCCTCCTCAGAATGAAGTTGCCTGTTCTTCTGTTGGTGCTGCTGTTGTTCACAATTCCTGGTGAGGTCAAAGGGAAGTGAGAAAGGAAGATGGGTAGGGAGGATTTCATCTGAGGTCCTCTGATGATCACATGTATTCTATCCATGTATGATAAGACAAGAGGTTTCTTATCCTACAGGAAGGGAATGTGAGGATTACATCTATTAGAGGGAGGTTTAAGATAGGAGGTAACTTATTCTGTAATGAATATTATGACACAGATAAAACAAGATGGTATAATTCATGCCTGGAAGCCCTTTTAGGCCATTCAATTCATTTGTTTTATCAATAAGGAAACTTAGTGTATAAAGAATTGTATGTAAAAATAAACATCTCATCTGAAATAAATACCAAAAAAGAAGACATAACGATTGTTCATGATGTGTGCCCTTAACTTTGTACTTCTCTGTCTGTATTTCAGCTTCCAGGGGTGATATTGTGATGACCCAAACTCCCACCTTCTTGCCTATCAGCGTTGGAGAGCAAGTCTCCATCTCTTGCAGGTCTAGTCAGAGTCTTGTACACAGTAATGGAAACACCTATTTGAGTTGGCTCCTTCAGAAGCCAGACCAGTCTCCACAGCTCATGATATACAAGGTTTCCAACCGATATTCTGGGGTGCCAGACAGGTTTAGTGGCAGTGGGTCAGGCACAGACTTCACACTCAGTATTAGCAGAATGGAGCCTGAGGATTTTGGAGTATATTACTGCGTGCAAAGGTCATATTATCCTCCCACAGTGATTCAGACCCTAACAAAAACATCCTTGCTTGGGGTGGCCCAGCCGCCAAATAATGTTACTTATGTAAGTTTGAGAGAGGCCCTGTGGTACTCCAGGTTATTGCTTGAAGCTGAAGGACTTGTAGAATGAACACGTGCCTTGGCTATACATCAAGAGTCATGAGTTTCAGTTCTCTTCATCTGAAATAACGATGAAATTTCCTCAGAATAACAGTGTACAGGGGCATTCCCAGAAACCATGGGTCTAAGAGTGAGTGAAAACTCATTCTAAAAATACAGTGATTCTCTGCTGTCATCACTCAAATTTATACTGAGAAGCAGACAGAAAATTGAGACGCATTTTTCTTAAGCCTGTCTCCTTTACTAGATAATTCATTCTTTTTTACATTTGTGCTTTGACTTAAATTCCATTTTATTATAATCATTACATATTCTATTCCTTTGTTTTCTCTTTGTGTAAAGTATGTTTATTGACCCTCTATGTTCAGACTCTGTTACACGTGAATTCTTTCATTTCTGATGAGCAAATACTTCTAGCTGTTGTTACCATTTTGACTCCATATTTTTTCCAAACACATGCACAGTTAATGAACACATATATTCTAGAATTTTCTGGTTGTTTTTAGTGTTTTCTTCTATTGTTTGAATTTGTTTTTAGTTTTCTGTTTCCATGTATTTACAAAATTTTAATTTTTCTTCTATAGTTGTGTAAATTTGATGCATTTAATACAAACCAATTTTCAGCTTAAATTATCTTTTTTTTCTATTTCAAGAGAGTGTTTTTGTTTCTTTCATTTCTGAAATATCTGCTAATTGTATTTTTTGGGGGGCAGGGAAATTTTTGTTGTTATTTCTTGTTAGAACTTTGGCTATATTGCCCAATTACCTCCTAACTCTTATATTCTTATTAAGAAATTAGTGTCACTTTAGTAGATTTCCCTTAAATGTAACTTATTCCTTCATCCTGTCTCTGTCTGTCTCTCTCTTTCTGTCTTTTGCTTTTGCCCTGAGATTTAATATTTTGAATAGGTGTTTTACACTGAATGTATTTGAGAGTCTTTGATCTTCCAGAAATTGGATGTTTAGATAGAACTTCATTATCTATGTTTTCTGTATGTTTACCAAATTTTTTACCACTTTACATAAACTCAGGAACATAAGTGTGTATTATTTCACTATTGTTCAATATGTGGCCTTGTTGTTCTTTTTTATTTTGTTTTATTTTATTATATACTTTGGAAATTTAAAAGATAAATAATTATTATTTACCTTTTCAGTTTTAGTCACAATAATCTTCTTCCATCTAATACTGAAACACTTTTTCTCAGCAACCTCCTTCAAGAGTAATGATTTTGTTTTGCGTCAATGAGTTAATTTTATTGGATTGCATTATCTTGAATTGGGTCTTATGCAGTGGAACAGAGCAGAACATAGAGGGTCAATAAACATACTTTACACAAAGATACAAAACTGAAGAGAATGGCACAACCTTTCTCAGAAGTCATTAACTGCTAATTGCCTGTTAATATATCAAGTGCTAAAGTCTTAGAAAAAAACAGACTCTTCATCTTCTGAACTGCCAACAGGATTTCATGACCATCTCAATTTTCCATTCTGAGATTTGTTCTGACCTGACAAAATATTCAGGTTTTCAGAGATCTTTTTGTAGCTACTTTTGAAAATAGAAATGAAATTTAGGTGTCTATGCATGTGTGGATTTATGTCTGGATATTCAATTTGATCCATCGATAAAAATGTCTGTTTCTCTGCCAATATCATGAAAGCATCTTCAACCAATGCTATGGGTAAAACCGGATGTCTGCATGTAGAGGAATACAAATCAAGACCTATTTATCACCTTGCACAAAGCTCAAGTTCAAGTGGATCAATGATCTCAACATTAAATCGATACAAATAATCAATTAGATTACATCAGGGAAGATCATTGAATGCTTAGACACAGGAGACAACTTCCTAAAAACATTTATAGCACAGTCACTCAGATTGAAAATTAATAAATGGAATCTTATGAAAATGACAAGCTTCTGCAAGGCAAAGGACAATGTCAACAGGACAAAATAGCAGCCTACAGCACGGGAAAATATTTTTACACACTCCACATCAAATAGAGAGATAATAACTCATGAAAGTAAATTTTACCAAATTAAGAAATCCAATTAAAAATGGAGTACATATCTAAAGAGAAAATTTTCAATAGAGGAATCTGAAATGGCTGAGAAATACTTAAATAAATGTTCAAATACTTAGCCATCAGGGAAATGCAATACAAACTACTTCGAGTGCTCATTTTATACCTGATAGAATTCCAAATATAAAAAACTCAAGTGACAGTTCATTTTGGCATGGAATTGGAATAAGGGAAGTTCTTCATCGCTGGTGGTAGTTCAATTTTGTTCAGATACTACAGAAATCAATGTTGCAGTTCCTCAGAAAATTGGGAATCAATCCACCTCAAGACCCAGCTATATTATTTGGTCATATATCCAAAGGATGCTGCATCCTATCATTTGGACACTTCATAGTGGCTTTACTTATAATACCCAGAAACTAGAAATGATCCAGATGTCCCTCAGCTGAAGTATGAATAAAGAACATGTGTTATATTCACACAATGAAGTATTAACTAGCTGATAGAAAAAATGACAACAGAAAATTTGCAGGCTAATATATGGAACTGAAAATCATCCTAAAGGAGGTAACCATGACATAGAAAGACAAGCATGGTATGTACTCACTTATAAGTGGCTTTAGCTATTAACAAATGTATAATCACTCACCAATCCACAGACCTAGATAGGCTAAGCAACAAGGAAGGCTCTAGTAGAGACCCATTGTTCTCTCTGGGAAGGGGAAATATAATAGATCCTGTGGATAAACTGGGGTCGATGGACTATAATCTTGTATTTATCTGCACTGCTACTATAAAACTAATACTTGACACCCTTTAAAACCATACAGTCAATATACTCATTGCAAGCACTATAGAAAAGGCTTTAAGCAATACACACAATTTGGCACTGGCTTATTTTACTCCATAGTGTTTCCTTGAGATTCTTCCAAGTTGTGTGTATGGGTAGCTAGCTTCTCTTTGGCTAAAAGTAGAAACCATGGTATCAAAAAACCCACAGTTTATCTGTTTACCAGATGATAAGATTGAAGCAGTTACTCAATTTCACCTACTTCTGGAACAACTTTATGTATATAATTAACATCCAGGCCATAGTTTCTCCTCTCTCCTCTCCTCTCAGTTCCCCTCCCTGTCCTCACCCTACCAATCTAGTCTTCCTCCATTTGTGTTAGGGTTGGGTAAGTTATTCATTCCAGTACGATGAGAAGGGTTTCAAAAACCAGAAAAAGAGTCAGAGTCAGTCCCTGCTGCCACTGCTAAGAGTCCCACAAATCTACACAACTGGAGCATATTTGTATTGTTCCCAGGTTAGTCCCATGTAGGATCCCTGGTGTTTGTTCAGTATTTATCCTCTGTGAGCCCAGATTAGTTGATTCTGTGGCTTTTCTTGTAGTGGTCCTGGCCCCTCTGTCTCCTAAAATCTTCTCCTGCAGGATTCTACAAGCTCTGCTTAATGTTTGGCTGTGGGTCTGCATGTTTTCATCAGTTGCTTGATGAAGCCTCTCTGATGACAACTAGCTTAGGTGCCAGATAGTATAGCAGGATATCATTAGGTATCATTAGAGTGACATTTTTTCTTCAGTTTTCTTTTGTTCTATCTTTTTTTATCATTTTTTATTTTAATTTTAAATAGCTTGTTTTACATGTCAATCCCAGTTCCCTCTCCCTCCCCTCCTCCCGCACTCCCCTTCCCCCCCACCCTCCCACCCTATTGCCAAATCCTTCCACATAGGGGATATCTAGAGTCTGTCATTTTACTCTGGGTAGGGTCCAGGCACTTTTTAAAGTGTAGTCCAGGCTGACCTCGAACTCAAGATCCTCCTGCCTCCGCCTCCTTCAGCAAATCCTACCGGTGGGCACCACCACAACCGGCTCTTTTGTTCTATCTTAGGTCTCTGTATTATTCGGTCTGTTTGTCCTGGTGTTCCCGGAAGTGTCAGGGTTGGGCTTACTCTCCCAGCATAGTTTTAGGTTTGACTTGTCATTGATTGGACGCTCCCTCAATCTTTAGTCCATCCTTTCTCCAGCACATCAAGGCAGGACATACTGTAGGTGTGCCAAGGTTTGTATATCAAGCTCTACACTTGAAGTCTTGCCTGGTCACTGGAGATGGCAAGTTAAGACTATGTTTCTGGTATTTCTAGGAGTTTTATCTGGGATCATCATTGTAGATTCCTGGCCATTTATGACTCAGAAATCTCCCACTTTTTCAATAGTCTCATACATTTGTAGTCTTGTCTTTCATCCACCTCCAATAACCTAATAGCTCATGTTCTAATCTCTACCTACCTGCTGACCACTCATGAAGTCTCTTCATATTTCCCCATCAAAAAGAGTTCTGGGCATCCTCACTTGAACCCTCTTTATGATGTGGTCTCTCTGGTTCTGTAGATTGCAGCACATTATCCTTTATCGTACAACTTATACGCACATGAGTGAGCAGATACCATGCTTGTAGTTTTTTAAATGAATTTATTTATTTTACATCCTGGTCTCAGTTTCTGCTCCCTCCTCTTCCAGTCCCTCACCCAGCCTCTTTTCCCACTTCTGTTTCCACTTCTTCTCTGTTTCTGTTCAAGAAATGACAGATCTCCCACGGGTCTGATAAAAAACATGGCATATCAAGTTGCAGCAAGACTAAGAATCTTTCCACCTATTAAGACTTAATAAGGTGTTCCAGTTTGAGGACTAGTGTTGTAAAAGCCAGTATAAGAGTCAGAGACAGCCTCTTTTCCCACATTTAGGAGGATTTGTGTTACCTCACTAGGGATAATTTTTGTAGTCCCATCCATTAGCCTGCAAACTTCAAGATGGCATTGTTTTTCCCCTCAATATATGTTTTTATTAAAATTAGAAACATGAATATTTCACATGTCAATCCCAGAACCCTCTCCCACTCCTCCTCCCTTTTCCGTCCACCAACCCACCCAGCCCCACACCCAGTACCCACATCATTCCCCAGGGAGAGTGAACCACTCCTTGGGGGGAACTCCAAA